CGATTCTTAGCATATCTTGGGCTCATGTGACCCAGACAACCCAATGACAGCTAACATTTCTTAAACTCTAACTATAGGACAGATATTGTTTTAAGTGCTTTATACTATTGATTCATAGATTCCCTAATATTTTCAGCTCTCACCTGCATTGTAAAGTTCAGAAACTACATTTCCCACACTCCTTTGGCAGCAGAGTTTAATTTTCGATTGACGCCTGGGAGGTGCCTGCAGGAAATTTGGCAAACAGAAGCAGATGCCACCATTGCTCTTCCTGACATCACATTTAGGTGGTGGACTTTGTCAGAAGAGATTTAAGTGACTCCTGAGCATTCCTGTGAAACTGCTGCTTCAGAAACATCATTGGCAGCAGTTTCCCAACATCTTTAAAAATCTCCCAAGATTCCTGCAATTCCTCCAGTTTTCTGAAATTGATGGCAGCAATCCCTCACAGTACCTCCCATAGGCCTTCTGAAGGATCTGTAATCCATTAATTCTCTTTATTAAAATCTTTTCCTGCCTGAAACAATTAGAGTAGTGTTTGTTTACCTGGCCAAACTCTGAGTGCTACAGGTAGGTCTTACTATTAGCTTCACTTTACAGGTAAAGAGACCAAAGCACGGAGAGTGCTTTGAAAAATCAATGAAGGAATTCAACAATTTTTATCCAGGGCGTATACTCTAAATACTTATGTTCTGCCTATTTTCAACTAAAAACCCAAATCCTATGAATGGGACACTGTTTTTTTTCCCTTCAATCTCCTTGAATATTTTAGTGTCAAATATCATTTGAAGCCTGTTTTTCAGTTTGCAAACTTTCTCAATTTTTGATAAAACCATCCAAGTTTCAATCAAATCTTCCTGTTTTACTTTTCAGGGTGAAGAAAAGTAAGCTTCACTACCCAGCTTCCTGTGGAGGATGGAGTGGGCACTGTGGAGGACTTCTTGGTATGCTTGCAATTGATCAATGGGAGAAGCAATATTCAACCTTAGGGGTTTTCAAAAATTCATCATTGATTTCATTTCAGAACACCCCCGTAGAGTTCATTTTTACATTTAAAATAAATTGATGTCAATGTCAAATTAGATAGCTTTTAGAGTTTAAATGCCTAGAAACAGGATGTTAGTGCTGGAAGGGCCAGAGCCATATTAATTAGCTGCTGTGTTTGTCTGCTTTTTTTTTTTTTTTTTTTCAGTCAACACTAACATTTAAAGTCACGGAGATAGATCTATATATATTGATCTGGAAGAATGTGCATGATATATTGTCAAGGGGAAAAAGCAAGTTGCAGAGTAAATTGATGATAAGATTCCATTTTTATAAGAAAAGAAAGGAAACATGTAAAATAACACATAGACACAGAATGTTAGAGAGGTCCTTAGCTAACTAAACACAACCTTCCTGCTATATTGATGGGTAAATTTGAAGGCCAGAATGTGATATAACTAAGGTCACATAGTTAGTAGCAGAATCAATTCCACAGTCCCCATTTCCAGACTCCACTATGTCACTTTGTCTGCAAGCTGCACCTGTACCAGCAAGTCAATAAAAAGAGAAGGAATCTAGTGACATTGCTGTGATTTTTGTCCTGGGGCACCATTAGTGAAAATATCATTCCATCTTGAACTCTAAACCAACCTTAATGGAAAGTGGAGTATTTGTCCCCCACAAAAGCAGGATCATTAAAATGAATACTGTTTTCCTTTTTCTTAATTTCTGAATTTCTCTCTATCTGAAGGCGCTTTCATTTTTTCACTTTAAAATTTTACTGATTTCACCAGTTTGACATTTCACAATGTTAATTTGAAATGTTTATCTCAATACTAAGGGAAATTTTGCAAGTATGAAACTTGCCCCAGCACTAGCACAGTACTTGGCTGAAAGTAGAAAACTTATAGTTTCCTTAATGAATAAATTAAAGATTCAATTTACTTGCCTTTTTCCTAAATAGTTTTTCTTTACTGATATTCAAACATGGTTTCAGTGGCTAATAGTACTATATGTAGTTGGTTCTCCGTATTCATGGGTTCCTTATTTGTGAATTCAACCATCCAGAGGTTGAAAATGTGTCTATACTGAACATGTACAGACTTTCTTTTCTTGTCATTGTTCCCTAAACAATACAGTGTAACAATTATTAATAAATCATTTACACTGTATTAGGCATTATAAGTCACCTGGAGATGATTTGTAGTATATAGGAGGATATTGTGGATTATAGGCAAACACTATACCATTTTATATAGGGAACTTGAGCATCTGCCAATACTGTTATCTACAAGCTTCCTGAAACAAATCCTCCACAGATATGGAGGGATGACTGTACCTTTAAAAATGTATTATGGACTTCTTTTTAAATGTTGATCTAAATGTATAGTAGTGATTAGTAGAGGCTGGGAAGAGTAGGGGTGAGGGGAGACAGGCAGAGGTTGGATAATGGGCACTGAAACAATTATATAGAAGTAATGAGTTCTAGTGTTCCACAGCACAGTGGAAGGACTATAGTTCATGATAACCAATTATATTATATTTATAAATAAGTAGAAGACATGAGCTTGAGGCCTCTAAAGACAAAGTAATGATAATGACGTGGAAATGTTAATTACCCTGATTTGATCATCATACACTAAATACATGTGTCAAATTATCACACTGTACCTCATAAATGACACAATTATTAAGTGATGTTAACACAATCAGTGTTAATAAAAGATTTAAAGATATGTTTAAGGAGAGGGAAATATTAACTACACAGATGTGATCATTATACACTATGTACAAGTATCAAACTATCACACTATACCCCACAAATGTGTATAATTAAGATAACAATCAGTAAAAAATTACTAATAAAATGTATAATAGGTGAAATTTGAATGAATTTTGCATTGATTTTGAAATTAAGCTATTTAGAGAAACTGTTAATTAATCTTCATTTTTAAAAATTCAATGAGTAAGCACATGGCAAACGAGACAGTCCCTTGATTACTCCCTTTGCAGAAGCACCCAAAGTCATGTGGATCCCTGCAGTTGGGATGAAAGGAGTGCATTGAGTTTTGCTCAGTAATGCCTTGCTTCACATTTAGTTGCTTTGGTCATATTTTTTTCTATCTATTCATCTCTGGTTCCCCATTAGGGCTGCTTGGGAGTTGACTTCATCAGGTTTGGTGGAATTGACTGAAATAAGGTGAGACAAGGAGAAAAGATATCTGAATCTTAGCCCTAAATCTACTTCCCAATAGTTTCATAATCTCAAGAATGTCATTTGTTTCTAAACCATTTTCTTTTAGTTTTAGAACTCCCTTTTCAAATGAAATTATTCCCAGAAAAGTTCATCCCCATGAACCGATTCCAGGCACCACAACTGAACTCGTACAACTATGTAAATTAAAATTTGAAAACCACTGCATTATGTCCATGTAGATAAATGGATTTTTTTAAAAAAAGATGTGGTGAATTTGTACAATGGAATATTATTCAGAAATAAAAAGGTATACATTTCTGATTCCTGCAATGACATGAATGAATCTCAACAGCAGGCTGAATGAGAGAAGCCACATACAAAAGAGTACATGTTGTATGATTCCATTTATTGATGAGTTTAGAAAATGAAAACTAACATATAGCCAAATAAAGATCAGGGTTGACAGGAGTTGGGAATGGAAGAAGGGATGTACTATAAAAGGGCACAAGAAACTTTTGGAAGTGATGGAATTTTTAGGTAGCTGGATTGCAGTGGTTATTGTACAGGCATCTGTCAAATCTCATACAATTGCACACTGTAATTTCATAGTTTATTATATATAAATTATATCATAATAAAGTTGATTAAAATCCCTGCATAAATCATCTCTAGGGTCCCTTATAGTTCAGATAGAGTAATTGGGACCTGAAGCCAACCAGACTTGGATTTAAACACTGGCTTTTCTAATTTGTTGGCTGTGTGGTTATGGGCAAATTGTATAACCTCTATAGACCTCTGTTTCCTTATTTCTAATATGTGTTGAAAATAGCCCTAGTTCATTGAGGTGTTGTAAGCATTCTAAGTGATAATGGACATAAAAAGCTTAGCTTAGTGCTTGGCATGTAGTAAGTGTTTAATAACTGTTAGCTGCCTTTCTAATTCTACAATTTTAAATAATTTCATAGGCCCAGTTGAAAAAGTTCAAAGGTGGCATTTATGTGATCTGAATTCTAATTTTGATTTCAGTACCAATTGTGTATGACTTTAGACAAGTTTTGAACACCTTCTCTGTCCCCTATTTCCTCATTGTTAATATAAAGGAGAATTGTGCTATTTTTCTTATCAATTCATAGAGATATTAGGAATATAAAATCAACTATTAGAGAGAAGTTTGAAAAAACAAAAAGAAAAAATAAAACATTATACAAAATTATAGGAAGTAACTATGATAGAATTTTCTCATGATTTTGAGTTAAGTAGAACAAGGAGATTGTGCTTACACTAGAGGACTTGCCTTCAATAAAGTTGCAAAGTTTCTGAAATTTGTCTTCTGGCCTTTTGTTATGCTATTCTCTGTCCCATTTTACAATTTCAGTTATGCTTTGTTTGCTGCCAACAGTCAAAAGAGATTCTTTTACTACTTAGGTTCTTTCTGTCAGTAAGAAATTGATTCTGATTAGCTCATTTACCTGAAGGTGAGTAACCTAATACATGACCACTATCAGAGTTATATGTAAAGAGAGAGCAAAAGTAATGTCTCAAGTGGGAATTCAAATCTCAATGGGGTTGTAGCTCAGTAGTAGAATGATTGCCTAGCACATGTAAGGTACAGAGTTTGATCCTCAGCACCACATAAAAATAAATAAAGTTATTATGTCCATCTACTATTAAAAACTTTTTAAAAATCTCAATAGGGATAATATTTTTGGGCAGGAACACTTGCTGAGACTTTTCACATGTCAATTATCTACAGTTCCAAAGTTAAAGTCAGATTCCTTTAAACAACTTTCCCCATCAGTAAATACATAACTGAGTGTTATTTTAAAAGTTTAGAAGCAAAGCAAGGTTATGCCATTTTTGCCATAACTTTCCTCATTGCCCCTTTAACATCCTTGTTCCTCAGGCTATATATCAGAGGATTCAGCATGGGTGTCAAAGCCCCATAAAACACTGAGATAAACTTGTCCTGGTCAGGGGAGGACTTGGACTGAGGTTTTATATACATGGAGATGGTTGTGCCATAGAAGATTGTCACCACAGTCAGGTGAGAACCACAAGTAGAAAAGGCCTTGAACTTTCCCTGGGATGAGCGAATCCTCAGGACAGCAGCAGCAATTCGGACATAGGAGAGGAGGACAAACCCAAAGGGTAGAAGCAGAGTGAAGATACCAGTGATGAGGATCATAAGCTCATTGACGCTGGTATCAGAACATGCCAGCTTAAGGAGGGAGAGAATCTCACAGACAAAATGGTTGATGACATTAGCCCCACAGAAGCGAAGCCTCAGGGATAAGACGAGCATGGCACTGAGTACCACTGATACCCCCCACAAGCTCACAGCCAGCCAAAGGCACACTGGGCCATTCATGACCATGGAATAGCGCAGGGGATTACTGATAGCAACCACACGGTCATAGGCCATGACAGCCAGTAGGAGACATTCTGCTGTGGCTAAGGCTAAGGAGACACTCATTTGGGTGAAACATTGTGAGTAAGAAAGGTAGGGATGGATAGAGAAACAATGCACTAAGGCCTGAGGCATGGAGGCTGTGCCATAGCAAAGGTCTAAGAAAGACAGGTTACTAAGGAAGAAATACATTGGAGTGTGGAGGTGAGGATCAAAGAGGATTAGAAAGATGATAAGTCCATTCCCCAACAACGTGCAGAGGTAAGTTATCAGCAGCATGGTGAAAAATGTGTCTCTCCACTCAGGATAGTTAGAGATGCCAATGAGAAAAAACCCAAACTCTGCTGTGTCATTGTCCTTGGCCATCTGTCCCTTTTGCTACTCTTCATTGAATGGGTGCCAATGGAGCTGCTTAGTTTCACCTAAAAGAATGAGAATAAAAATGGAGGGTATGAGAAAGGTGGAAAGAACTATGGTGTGCAAGGTCATTATCTTTGCCCTAGTCAGAGAGATGGAACATAAATGGGATATCTATATTGGGAACAGAGGCAAAACTAAAAATTCCCTCCTTGACTCCAAGAAAATGGAAAGTTCCTCACCCATTTGAAAATAATTATATGACAATATCCTCTGCCAGATGCCTTCTTGGATAATTTTTTTTCCAAAAAAAGAGAAGGAGGGCCATCTTCCTGGCTTTCTCACTCATTCTCCATTTTCCAAGTCAAATCTAATGAATAGACACAATAGCACCTCAGTCATCTTGAGTTACTGATCTTAACCAAAAGGGGATCTTCTGATGGATGATATGTCTAGGTAAAATTTTGTCTATTCTTATGAACAGACTCACTCCTGATTATGCAATCTCCATTTCCCATCATGCCAGGATTTACCATGATGCCTGACAGAGTATTTCTTTGGCTTGAACAAATATTATATAAAGGGGGAAGTTCCTGGATTCCCTGAGGTCTGTGAGAACCCTCTGCTAACACCCTCAGTTGAAGTTACATTTCTAGAGTCTCCTATGTTTTCTACACTGTGATTGTTGAGCCCTAAGGAATGTGAAAAATGTAATGTGATATTTCCAAAAGAATGGGTGTGTGGTGAGAGGAAGGCTTGAGTGATAGCTTACAAGATAAGACTTTCCTTTCCCACTATAATCAATGTCTTTTCCACATCTCTCTTTATTTTTCTTATAGCATTTCCAAATATCAAAATTACATTAGTAATTTGATTATTATTTGTCTCCCACTCAAATGTAAATCAATTGAGGACAAGGACCTCATTTATTTTGTTTGCTGATATATCCCTGGCACCTGGAACAGTACTTGGGGACATCACAGGGATCAAACAGATATTAAATGAATATATAAATTACTAAGCATTCTTTTGCATTATCCACAACCTAACTACTCCTTTTGCCATCTTTATTGCCATCCTTTATTGTAAGATATTGTCATTACTCACCTGGATATTGTCAGTTACATCTTTATTGGTTTCCCTGTTTCTGGTTTTGTCCCCATTCAGTTAAAAATGAATTAGTTAAACTATAAATCTAATCATGTCTCTCCTCTATTCAAAATATATATTTTTTCTATTGAGGTATGACTTACATACAAAATGTATACATTTTTAATGCGAACATCTTCAAAAGTTTGAAAATAGGTACACATTCATAAAACAGCCAACATAAATAATGTTATAAGTCTAGAGGTATAGTTCAATGATAGAGCTATTGCCTAGCATTGATGAGGTCCTGGTTCTGTCCCCAAAACCACAGAGAGAGAAAAGAGAGAAGAAAGAAGAGAGAAAGCCATAAGTATAACCATCACCTCTAAAAGTTTCCCCTCTCTCTTCTTATAAGAACATTTATCAGATCTACTTACTAACAAAAATTTTAAGTTGCAATACCATATTGTTAACTACAGCTTTCCATTTCAATCTCATTAAACACTAGTCTCTTTACTATGACCCATTTAGCCTTACATGGTTTGCCTCTCCCTCAACTCTTTTACCCCAATTCATAGTATCCTTTCTTTGGTCAACTTTGCTCTGGTCACAATGGCCACCTCAGTATTCCCCACTCAACCTATATCTATTTCTCAGAATTTTTTAGTATTTATTTTTTTATTTGTAGTTGGACACAATACCTTTATTCCATTCATTTATTTATTTTTTTTTATGTGGGGCTGGAATTGTGACTCAGCGGTGGAGCACTTGCCTAGCATGTGCAGGGCCCTGGGTTTGATCCTCAGCACCTTTATTTTATTTTTATGTGGTGCTGAGGATCAAACCCCAGTGCCCAACCCGCACTAGGCAAGCACTCTACTGCTGAGCTACAACCCCAGCCCTCAGAATTTTTGATCTTGCTGCTCCAGTTATGAAAGAACTGTTTCTCCATATTTGTGAAACCCAACGTTTTTACATTGCTTACTTTTTGACTCTTTATTCAGGAGGCATTTTTTTTTTCAGTGAGCTCTTCCTGGGCTACTCTGTCTAGAAGTTCATATCTATTGTCTGATATTTTATATCCCTCATTTCTACATTATTTTCTTCACAGAACTACCTTTAGCATGCTGTATACCTTATCTATTAAGTATTTGTATTGATCATTTCTCTCAACTAGAATGTATGCTCAATGACCTTAGAAAATGTGTTTGTTTTGTTCATTGCTATATACCCTGAACCTAGAATGGTGCCTGATACAAAATAGTTGACCAGTAAGTATTTGCCAAATAAGTATGTGAATGGAGTATTTTAACAGTTCCATATTGAAAGAAAACCTCTCTTTCTTTTTCCTTTGACATTGTTGTTTATATGCCAAGAACCCCTGAAAAAATATATGCACACACATATATACCTTCATAAAACTAATTCTCTTTTCTCTTTCCTTGAAGCCTCCAGTACTCACTGACTATGTCTGTAGGCAAGTTTATTCCCCTCACTTGGCCTAAATTTTTATTTGCAATCTGGCTCAACCAGATTAGTCCTTCTAACTCTAACAATGTAGGATTCTCTCACTTCTCTCAGATGAAATGGGGAAAAAAAACCCCTTCCTTCTCACAGCAAAGGAATGCATTACATTCTCCTCCTTTGTTGGAGAGGCATATGGGCTGTAAAAGAGTGTGTTAAGGAATGGAGCTTCTTTAACCACCTCTGAGGTGGTACACTCACTTGTCTTTATAAGTCTTTAGGAAACAGTAGCAGAGCTTGTGGCATACACAGAGGGAAATAAGGAAAAAGTCTTTAGGAAAGATCTCATAAGTGCCTCCCTGCTATGCCTTGGCCTTCCACTAAACTTGTATCTATGTCTCATTCTCTATCTTGCTCAGCTTCTCAGACAAGCTAAATACATAAGAAAGTTAGGTCCATGAAATGAAAGTGTTTGCCAATAGTGAAGAAGCAAACAAGTACAAGAAATGGAGGAGGTGTTGACTTGTCCTCACAGGAGTGTCCTCAGAGCTTAAGAGCCTTACTGCTGCTTTTGCCTTCATTTATCAGAGAACCTTGAGAAAGAGGTTTTGCCTTGTACTGCTACTATCTTTGCAAGTAAAGATTGAGAAAATCATCTTTACAGAACAAAAATGCAGAAAGATATGAATCAAATGGCTATTTATGAAACAATGCTTTGCTACCTATATTTTAAGTTGGTACAGTCATATCTTCACATTTAAAAAAATAATTGGCAGTATGTTTATCTACCAATTATATACACATTGGCTATTTACAGTTCAATATCTAAAAAGTGATTGGCAGGCTACAGATGGGAGGATGAACTGGTTTTTCCATAGATGTGGACAGCAGATTATTATGCTATAGTTCTCTTGGAACTCCATAAAATACACTGATTCTGATGTTAAATATTAAATATTGATAAATATATGTTTTTCCCTCCTCATGTAAATCTATCATTTCCAATAAACCACAGTATGTATTTTTTTCCAATATTGAAGGAGGGCTTACAAAGAATATATTGCTCAGTCTCTCATGAACCTAATAGAAAGAATTGATGAGCCATTTGACTATGGCTGTGAGATGGACTTGTTTTTAAATGGTGTTAAGATTACTGGCAGAGGTTGGGATTGAACCCATGACCTTGCCCCCATTAATACAATGCTTGGACCTATGGAACTAAAATTAATGACAATTTTTATCTCACACTTAAAGACTACTCAGTATCTAAATTGAGGAACATATTTTTTCATTAAGTCTAGACCTGCCTTCCAAAGACAGTGCTGAGTGTCTCATCCCAGAATGACCATTAAAATATTCCTGGAAACTGGGTGCAATATGTTTCCTGTCTTAATACTATTACCTGCAATTCTTTAAACAGGTTAATTTCCTTTAACTAATGGCTTCCATTTGCCTCCATAGAGATTGCCCATGCCAGATAGATGGTTAGAGACCCCACAAAAAGGAGAAAGGAAGAAAAAGAAAAGAAACAATCTACTCACCATTGAAGGTCTCTCTCAAGTGCTAGTACATGGATTAGAATAGAACTGCTCAGAAGAATAATTCTCCAAGACTTGCCAGGTTTGGTACTCTCAAAATCTCCCTGAAAACTCCCAAATGCCTGTAAATCTCTGAGGATAGAAAATTCTTTTAGATTAGGTCAAATCTCTAACCCTTTGATCTCCTGCCCTTGATAATGGTGTCTAATTAAATTATTTAAGTTCTTGGGCAAACATTTCTTTCAATGACATTTGACTCATATACAGCCTCATTCAATCTCCCCTAAAAAGTTATAATATGTAGAGAAGATGGAGGTCACTTGAATGCTCTGCATTAAGCCTTTAGATTAAGATATCTTTTACCTCTTGACAATGTTTATATATTATTTTGTCTTGGTGACCTGGAGCCCAACTAAACCCAATTGTCACTTTCTTTATAAAGCATGGAGACAATAACCAAATATTTTGCGCCCAGGTCTTTAAGCCAAATTAGATGACTTCCAGGAGAAGTGCTAGGCTTCATACATAACCAACCCAGTTTCCTATTTTTTTCTCCCCCACTGTGCTGGACAGTGAAAATATACAATCTGATATCCCAAGTTCCTGCTATTCCATGGTCAGAAAAAAAGATCTAATGGTAGTCTGTCTGCCCACTAACACTGGGAAGTGGTCTGAAGCATTTTAAAAACATGACACAAATACTGAAACCAAAAATGTCTTTTGGTTATTGCTCAATTTTCCAGAATATATAACTGACTAGAACCTGCCCTTCATTGAGCAGTTTGATTTATAGAAACTGGGCCATATCTCCTCTTTTCTCCATTGATTCCCAAATCCATGGAGAATTATCCATGGATCTATATGTTTATCTACAGGCTGTCACCAAGCCTCTATCTCTGGAACCATGTTTGGCTCAGCACTAAATCTATAAATCTTACATCTTTGGCTTTCACATAATGTCTGGGGTCCAATTCTCTTCCAGATTCAATTCCAAATGTAGGGAGTAAGTTG